GCAGGCTGCAAAAGGAAGGGACTTTGAGGCCCTACTGCTGGTTCTGCAGGGGCAGGTAGAGTGGGATAATGGGAGGATGGGGTGGAAAGTGGGCTGAGTGGAGTGAGGGGGTCATGGAACCGCATTGTCCTGAGTTGAGAAAGAATGCTCCAGGCCCTCTGCCACACATCACCCTCAGGAAATCTGCCTTCCAGCCCCAGCACAGATACACCCTTGTTAGTGCTACATAATTGAGTTATTCCAGTCTCTGAGCCTCGGTTTCCCATGTAGAGCTGCTCAGAAAACCATAAAGATATTCGGGATGGGGGGAAATGGTGCAGGGGAGCCTCAGGACCCTCGACCCCAATTTCCCACCTATTGCAACCACTGCATGTCAGCTTCTACAACTGTTTAATGTATTTGGATTCCAATTAGATTCTGCTGGAACAGATTTTCTAGGACTAAAGAAAAGCTTGAAGACACTGGACTAAATTCTTTCTCCACCTCTTGGTTCTAACTGGATTCCACTCTATCGCAAGGAGCAGAAACAGCCCTGTTCTCTCTCACCACACCAGAGTATTCTTTGCCCTAGAATGCCAACACATAGAGCAAACTCAGAGGTGTTCCCGATGCTTCCCGCCCACTTCCCTGCCATCCTGGCCAAGGAGGCAGGCCACCCTCCACTAAGCCAGTGAATCAGGTGGATGGCACCCATGGGAAATGAGGTTCAAAGGGCCTCCCCAGGGTGTCAGTGCAACAGGAACTCTGTGTTGGTAGAAGGGAATGAGTCTCCCACATCAGTATCATTAGGATGGAAAAGGGCAGATATCCTCCGTAATCATGTCATGGAAAAAACGTTTCTGCAGCCCTGTAGCTGGTGTTATACTCCAGGCAAGTCATGCTTGTGGGAAAGAAAAAAAAAGACAACCACGTTTTCCTTCTTCCTTTAATCACACCAAAACAGTCCTAAAAACAAAATTTCATCAGAGGCCACATTCCCAACACACTCTCCCCCGGGTCTCCATAGAGAGTGGCTATCTGCTCCCACGCATGAAGGGAGAGTGGGCACTGCATGGGCACGCAGAGCCCCCCTCCTATCTCTGGCCTCAGGCTTCGGTACGTGCTCTGGGGAGGTGCTGGGGTCCCGGGCACGTCAAGGTGGAAGGCCATGTTCTAAGCCTGCCTGCATGTCTCTGCTTTTGTGGGGTCTGGAGTAGACAGCTCAGAGAAGGGGTATGGCCCTGCCTGTGAGAAGCTGATGGCCTGCACCACACAGGACAGTATTCACTGCCAAGGGTCGCATCAGGGTCATTACACCCACGGACCCCTTGATTCAACCACAAGGCTTGTGGTATCTGTACCTCCCATCTGAGAAAATGAGGGTTCGGAGAAGGGAAGTGGCTGCAAAAGCTCAGGAGAGGCAGGAGCGACACAAAAGTCCCCAAGTCAGTGAGACAACATTGTAAGGCACCATTGTTCACAGTAGGTGTTCAATAGTTCCTTCTCTGCTCCCTTCTGTCCTACACGAAAGAGTTTCCCATGCCCCCACCTTTGGAAACCTCCATACAGGGGCTTCCAACAATCCCGCCCCAGCTCATGCTATAAGCCGAGGACATTTGCCTGGGTAAGCCCATGGGACTCTCGTTTGCAGATTTCTGTCTGAACACAGAGAAAACCGAGGAGAAATTTGTGGAGTTCTGATAGTAACAAGCATGCACCTCCAGGACAAATGCCAGGCCAAGTCCCCTGGGAGCTTGACGTGACTTTGCAGCAAAGCCTACCCCCCGTGAGGTTGCTTGGTGATCACCCATGCCAGGCAGCTCCAAGCAGAACACAGAGATGATTGATATTTTGCCTGGAGTTACACAGCGGGCTGGTGACATAGACCTTTGATTTTGCCATCCAGCACTCCCTCAACAAGAACACACTTCCTGGATGAGATAATTTAATTAGTATTTGCCCAGCACCCTGCAGTGAAAGGCAATCACCTATTCCTTCCATCCTCTGAAGGGGCTGAGTAATCCAGTCTCTTGATGCCACTTAATCTAAAACGTCTGGGTGACTCACCCTCCCTGCTTTTTCCCTCTGGAGTATTTACTTTAAGAAAACATCCATTTGCTCCCTAATTTAAACAATTCCTCTTGATTTAAATCTTAAAGAAGCTACTTGGTTTTTGTTTTTGTACCTGTGTTTGTTTGTTTGCTGTAGTTGTTTTTAAACTTATATATACATATGTATATTTACATCCACATAGACACGTATGTATACACATGTCTACATATAGAATATAGAGAAATTATAATAGACCACATAATATATAATATATGGAAATTATATAAATATCAATATAGAGAAAGAGATTAGGATATACACATATATCGAGACATATATCGTCTCCGCAGAGACCCCCTGACCCTGCTCCAACACGACAGCATCTAGCAATCAGCCCAGTTGGCTCCTCTAACCTTTCTGGACTGGGTGTGGCCAGAGAGATGCAGTTGGGGGTTCCTCAGAGTTGCCCCTGCCTCCTTAGCATGAATGATCTTTGCACCACCTTTGTGTGCCACGGGACCCTCACCTTACCCTCAAGTCTGCTGCCTACCCTAAACTTTACTTTTAGGTCACCCCAATTCCCCAGCCCTACCCTTCACAGCCCCATCTTCCACCAGGAACCATAGCTCAGCCCTGCCTTCAAAGGCCACCCTAGACCAGTGACACTGTCCCAATCGCCTCCTCATCTGGCTTTATCCTGAAACCTCCCAGACCTTGCTTGAATGCACCCATGGGCCTGAATAACAAACATTTGCTATAGTAAATCCCATTCCCCACTTTCCAGATAACTTCTCCTTAACAGAGATAAGCTGCCAGGCAGACAGGTAACAACTGGGATATGCGGTTATTAAGGTCAGATTTTAAAATGACAAAAGGATACGTTTTAAAATAAAGCCCACTTGAAAATCAGCTTCCCTTCCAACTCAATTACATTCAGGCCTCCTGCTTGCCGAAGCTCCTTAGACTGAGAGATTCCAGCTCCCATTGGCTTCGGGGTTTTGGAGGAGCGTTGCCATGGCAACAGAGAAGGCCCAGACACCTGAAACAGGAAGTGGAGGACACAGTGCCTCTTGGTCTCTCAGGCACCTGGAGTGGCCAGCGGGGGGTGGGGGGGCCCTAGGATGCAGGGACCCCCACAGCCAGCATTCCCACCTACTGTGGGACATTGTTGTGGAAGCTGAGCTGAAAGAAGGGGGGTAGGGGCAGCAAGGGAGCCAGCAAGCGGGGCCTGAGCGTCTGTAGCCTCTGAGGGGGATGAAGGCAAGGACAGCGGCAGATGTGAATAGTCACCTCCTCAGCAAGTGGCTACACTCTGCAAGCCCCTTTTGTATCTGGGTGACTAAAAGGGCTCCCTGATTCTGGTTGCTCCTCACCAGGTGGGAGTCCCAACACAAGCCAATTTCTGTTGGGGTCCTGAATGACCTGGACCAATGCTGACCATTCCTGGCCCCCCCACCAAGGCTCCCAGCTTTGGGCATCCCTAACAGACATTACGAGGTCTCCCTGAGGCCCTTGACATTGCATGTCACACCTTGGCCCTCCAGGGTACCACACCATAGAGGCCAACACCCTTTACGATGCCACAAACAAACCCCTGAGCTCCAAAACGTCATCGAAACCTGTGTGGCACTGTTGCATCCCAACCAATTACTCAACCTCCCATTTATATGACCAACCGGTGACTCCACCTTCCGTCCTAAGATGGGCTGAGACTCCCCAACTCCCACATCACACATGGGCCCCCGGTCACCCCAGTCCCTCTGTGGGGAGCCAGTCCTCCTCCCATGTGATAACCGATGACCACCCTGGCATGTTCTCTAGCCCTCACACCCTCCACCGCTCCACACATGTATCTTTCTACCTGGTCCTCAAGGAGTACAGCCGACGAATGCCATCGCCCAGATTGGCAATCTCCCAAGAACACGTTAGCCTTTCCTGCCCCTGCACTGTCCCCAGCCAATGCCAGAGGACAGGCTAGAAGGCTCTTTGCCAAGGGTTTATCCTGCTACAGTGAGAGCTCACTATGCCCTTCATCTCTTGGGCCCTGATGAGTAGAAACATCCTCCTTTCAAGTGTATAGAAAGGTATGTGTGTGAGTGTGTCTGTGTGTGATTATATGAGCCTGTGCCTGAGTGTGTGGCAACCAGTTAATGCCCCGACAAACACATGGGCCTTCTGTGCGGACCATTCCTGGGAGTGCATTTAAGCCAGCTGAGTGGCCGGGCTGTGTTACCCCCACCATCAGCTCCACACCGGCTCGCAGCGACCACATCTGAGGTTCTCGGATAATTGTGCCAATATCTTGCTTCCTACATTGACCTCTCGGTCCCAATATCTGCTAGATTCTTGACTTCCCAAGCCTCCCCTTAACTTTGGGGGTTCCAACCCTGGGTAAAAGCTGCCTCCTCCACCCCCCAGTCTTCAGTCCTGAAAATCCTTCATAGGAGGAGAGAGGAAGAGGCAAGGTATTACTGGAAAGAGACCCCAGGCCTGCCACTAGCATGAGCACCAAATAAAACCACCAAACCCCACCCGGAGCTACGCAGCTTGTTGCCTCTCCTTTCTTCCTCCACTGGGCTCTACTGCCCCCTGCTCCCCACCCTCCTCATGGTTCATTTTTCTGTTCATGGCTCTGTCTCACTCTTAGATCTGGCGGACACTGGCGGGAACCTTGGACTCTTGCCTCAGCCACAGTTACACCTGTCCCTGCCGTTGGGCTGATCTCAGCCCCTCTGGGAAAACACGATACCCCTTCCAGCCTCAGGCCTGCTTGGTTGGCTGTCCAGGGCCAAGCAGCAGGACCAGGTGGTGCCAGGGGCCCTGCTGTACTCAGAGACTGCATTAGCAGAACTTCCTGGTTGAAAACTCTCTGAGCCTTCTCCACACTGTGCCGCACAAGCCCTGCTCAGAACACAGAGCCAGTGGCATCACCGCAGCAGGCGAGGCGGGGGAGGGGGGCTGAGACTTACCTTACGCATGTCTTTGCCAAAGGTCTCACTGTAGGTTGTGCCAAGGATTTCAAACTGGACGTAGGGATTCGAGCTGTCCTCCCGAAACTCCATCACCCCTGTGAGACCAGTGATGTGGCCCTGCAGGAGAGAAGGAAAACTCACTGAGGAAAACGTGGTTGGGGTAAGGGATGGAATCCCAAAGATGAAGAAGGAGAAGGAAGTAGTCACCGAGAATGGGACGATCAAGATCTTAAGGAAGCAGTGGACAGGCTGTAATGAGGACAGAGCTGCTAGCAGTCCTATAGCCCCAGAATAGGATCGACACTTCCCAGACCTCTGCTCACAGGGGACATTCCAAAGGCTTGCACTTGACATTCATGATGAGAACACCTGCTCCATGCCACATGTCATGCTAGCAATGAGATCAAAGAATGACAGCTTTGTTTCCACCCTCCTAGAGCTCACAGTCTTCCCTTGCAATCTGCTCCAGAGGTCACCTGAGCTTGAGCCAAGAGGGAGGTCAAAGGTCAACAGAGCCGTATCAGACCCATGGCGGTAAGTTACAGGGCAGCAAGCATGCGCCCTGGAGGCCAACACCATCTCAAGTCCTGGCTTTGCCGCCTGTGCCACTCTGGGCAAGCCATCTCCCATCATCTCCAGCCTGGAGTTAATGAGCTCCACATCAGAGAGCCTGCAAGCATTGAAGGATGAAATGTATACAAAGCATGGTGTCTGACACAGACTGGATATGGTGGGTGTGGAAGACTTGCCCCTCTCTCTGGCCGTTCACGGGGCTCTGTAGGAGCAGGTGGCCGAGGGGCTGGGGGAGCCTTCAAGCCTAGGGTGGGGGTGTCATCAAGCCCTGATCTCCCGTAGACTATGAGCTGGGAGAGTCCCAGAGCCTGAGCTGGCCAGAGAGGGGCCCCAGCTCTGGCTCGGGCTGCAGTAAATTCAACCAACACGAGAATATGTTCACTGCTACATGACACCATGCACAATTGATTGGGACTACAACTCCTAGCACTATAGATTTCCCTAAATGTTCTTCTGAAGCCTCTGAAAGCCAATTCACTCTAACAAGTCTGTGGACTACCCAATTCACTCCAGATTCAGCCTTCCACCTTGGTGTCATGCCTCAGTGTGTGCAACACATCATCAGTGCAGAACGCATGTGCACACACACAGATGCACACACACACATACACAAGCTAAGGTCTTGGTGATCAACACATGCACTAATGACTGAGACAGGCTCTCTTATGAACAGTGGCTATTTGGCACACATGAGCTGGGCAGTTGCCTCCATTGTTTGCTTACTTATGACCTCGGGCAAGTTACTTAACCTCTGAAAATCCAAACTCCTTGTAGAAAAACAGAGATGATGATAATAATAATAATAATAATAATAATACATATCCATGAAGCCCAGCTCACCAGCCCTCAATGCTGGGAAAGGAAGAGTGGCATGGAGAGAGGCCTGGGAGGAGCCTGCAGGGGCAATCACACAAAGCACTAAGCTTCAGACCACCTGCTCAAGGGGGTGGGGTGTGTGTGTGTGCATGTGTGCAAGGAAGGGCCTGTCTTGGGCTTTAGCCAGGTGGGTGTCCCCTTACACACACCTTTTTGATTGTGTCCAGCATGGACCTCCCTCCATTCCATGGCTTGGTGGACTTGCGTATACAATTCAGGCTTGCCATGCTATGCCATTTCCGGTCCTCCAGCTTCCGGTGGAAGGCGTTGGCCAACATCAGGACGCTGTCATACAGGTAAAGGTTGGAGATCTGCAAACACAAAGGCAGTGAAACCCTTTCCACTGATGCATTTTCAGAGATGAGGAGAAACCAGCAGAGGTCCTGGGTGATCCAGGGTGCCAACACTAACAAGCGGTGCACAGTATCTACACCACAATCCTCTAGCTTCATCCAAAAACTGGGCCAGGCAATGGAGTCGTAAGCAGAATAAGAACTAGCCCTGCTTCAGGAACTAGAGTGGGAGGTGGATGTGTCCATCAACAGGAGAACCAGCATGGTCAGCCCTGTGGTTGAGACTTGCACACAGGCTTTGTGCAAGATTAGAATGGGACATCTTGCTTGGGTGACACAGGATGGGGTAAGGATGGGCAGAAAGCTTGGTCTAGAAGGATTCGTAGGATAAAAGGCGGGGAGCATTATAGGGAGGCAGCGTTATGCAAAGGCATGAAGGTACAAAGAAGCAGGGTCAGGTAGGGCAGGGTCCAGCAGCACTGCCCGTGAAGGATCAGATATGAAAGATTTTAGGCTTGGGACGCCTGGGTGGCTCAGTTGGTTAAGCGACTGCCTTCGGCTCAGGTCATGATCCTGGAGTTCCAGGATCGAGTCCCGCATCGGGCTCCCTGCTCGGCAGGGAGTCTGCTTCTCCCTCTGACCCTCCCCCCTCTCATGCTCTCTCTCTATCTCATTCTCCGTCAAATAAATAAATAAAATCTTTAAAAAAAAAAAAAAAAGAAAGATTTTAGGCTTTATGGACCTTACAGTCTCTTTCACAGTGCTCAACTCTGCTATTATAGCAGAAAAACAGCCACAGACAACACATACAGAAAGGATGTGTTAATAAATCTTTATTAAGAAATAAAGATTTAGATGAAATTAGATTAAAAAAAAATAGGCAATGAGCTGGATCCAGCCCAAGCACCACAAGTGGCCAAGCCCTGGGTTAGAGGGACTGAACACAGTACCAAATGTTTGCATCAAAGGGTGTAATAGAGAGGAAGTGGGATTGAGGGGGAAGCAGGGATCAGGGTTCTAGCCATGTTGAACCTTGGGGGCCAAGCTAAGGAGTAACAACATAGGTGACTTCAGAGAGAAGGACGCCAGTGGTGGATCTGTGCCCAGAAGTCAGATCTGTGCCTTGGAAAGATTGCTCTGGTCCCCAGATGGCCCTCGGGTAAATGGTGGCCTGACTGACACTGGCAGCTTACGGTGATGGAGATTCTAAGGCCACAGAGCCCGCTCTGCAGGGGCATCACCACCAGCCAGGGGATGCATTTGGGGATTGCAAGTGTTCACATATGAGAAGTACCCCCTGCTGAGCCATCTGCTATGGAGAGATGGCTCACGGAAGACACAAAACCCACCTCAGAGCTCCCAAGAGCAGGAGTGTGAGGGAGACGTTGGAACAGTGGTGAGGAGAGCAGCACCATAGCGCTGGTATCCAGGGATGGGACAGGTCTGGCTCACTCTCCTAATGGTAATTCAAGACCCTGATCTGCATGAGCCTGAACACCTGCACCTACTGTCTCAGGGGCCCATCCAGAGCCCTCTGCAGGAAGGAAGGCAGCCCTGTACTTCACATCAGCCCACTCCTCCATGGGGGTGTCATGGAGCACAAAGGGAGGAGAGTAAGGTGAGGGGGTGGGGAGGAGGTGATGTCCACCCTTGTTCAGGTGTGTGGTCCCTCCTGGGTAACTGTTGCACAAACAACCATCAGCCGAAGTGGGTCAAGGGGATGATTCTTTGCACACCTAAACAGCGAGGTGTCTGCTAAAAATATTTCAGAAAAACAAAATCACTGGATATAAATAGGAGAATGTGTCAACCTCACAGGACTCCCGGGAGAATCAAATAAGATCCTTGGTCTGCAGAAAGAACCCTTACTGCCTCCCAGCCTTACCTCTCACCACACCCCAGTATGGCCCTCATACCCCCAGTACCTACTCGCCTTGTTCTCCACCTGCACTTTCTTTCCTCATCTTGGACTGGGTGCCCCCAAAGCAGAGCCCCAGACAAGAGCTTGGGTAGCACCAACCACCCTCGGCAACTGACATCAGCGGTGGGCTACAGGAGCTAGTGCAAGACATCAAAACCATCTGCTACATCGTGACTGTCCAGCAACTCATGCTAACACCCCAGGGCGTTCTCGCCACAGCATGTCAAGCAGAGCTGACCACTTCTGCAGGTGTCTGTGTGTCCTGGCCATGCCTGCAGAGCCCTGTCTTATCCACCTGCAACCCGCACCCTTACAGCGGGCACAGGACTGTGGGCCACTAAGGCCTGTGGAGGAAGGGGGTGGAGGATGGACAGGCGATGTTTCAGATGTGGCAGGAGTGTGCCTGGGATGACTGAGCACTGTTGACTGAGCCAAGGCCTCAGGCCGAGGGGAAGCAGGCATTTCAGTGGCTGGCACCCTGTTCCCGACGCCCGCGGTACACAGGTGTTCACCTGACAGCAGAGAGCAGTCATTCCCATCACCGAGAACCCACCTCCCATCCTACAGGGAACACCAGAACTGGGTCTCCAGCCCTGAGCCCTGGGGGCACATTTCCCCCATGAGAAAAACTAACCCACTCTCTGTGCTTGTCAGACCCCCCAGCTCTCAGGAGCTCCTACCACTGCAAAATGATTGTTGACATGTCCACCGCCCCTCTGGAATACAAACTCATAATGGAGATGCTGTTACAGGAGAATGCCAGCTATGTAGAGTTGGCTTGGTTTATTTTATTTTTTCCAAAAGAATAACTCAAAGCTGAGAGTCCTTGATAATGTAAAGATTTCTCTTCTCAAGACATTCATGGGTCTCCCAGACACCCACTCCTAACTGATGCTATTCAACCAGCCGGGACCCTTTGACCCACATTATGTCCTATGCACACATGCACACCACTTGGGACAGCACCACCCCAGCTGTGACCCAGACTAGCACCCAACGGAATATCCCTTTTTGCCTCCGGCACTTCTATTCACAATGAATTAAGGTACTTAGTGAGTGTATGAATGCAGAGAGGCTGGCAATGAAGAGGCAAAAACAGGATGTGACTCAGAAAGGCTAAAGGAAGCCCTCAGTCCTCCCACAAGTATGTCTTCTGGGAAGGGTGAATGCATTTCAGGTCAAATAAACAAGCTTTCAGTTCAAAGGCTTTAGCAATGCTCTTTTCCAAGTAGACATATCTGGAAATATGTACATATATGTTATAGATATAACATACATATATACATAAATGTGTACATATTCATATATAACTTATAAATAATTTTTATATATATGTATATATATAACTTTTTTCTTACCATCTCTAAACACAGCATCCAGCACCAACCATATGGTTGGCATATGGTTGGTGCTTAATGTATACTTGATGGATGGATGGTGGATGGATGGAAGGATAAATGGATAGATGGATGAGGGGATGGGGAGGTGGAAGGGGGGAGGGGCAGATGGATGGAAGGATGGAGGGTGAGATGGATGAATGGACGGACAGACAGATGGACAGATGGATGGATGGAGGATGGATCTCTTGCTAAGAGGATATACACCGATCTTGGTTCCCCAAAAGAGAAAACAGTAGGAAGAAGAGACTGGCCACCTCCACTTTGACTTGGGAGAGAACTTCCTTTGTTCAAACACAACTTGCTTCTCATTTACAGCCTATTCAAAATGCCTTCTTGATCCCCACTTGGAGCTCCACCTTCTTTCACTCCTGTCCCTTCTCCTGGTCAGATTCTATGTCAGTACTTCTCCCTGTTGTAGGCAGACACTAACACCCTGTGTTGATCTGTGGCCCCGTCTCTGCTGTCCAACCTCAGCATCCTCACAGTTAGGTGATCTGCCAGGTTCACTGGTGGGGATGCAAAGAGAGGGAACTACCCTTCCAGTCTTGTCTGGAGACTGGAGATAGGACCTTTGGGGGAAAGATCAAGAGCAGATAGTAGAAAGGCAGACTCTGCTTGGGGCTCCATCTGAGTCCTGACAGACATAAGGCAAGCCTTTTCTCAGGAGAGGTGGGTGGAGACCAAGTGTCAGGGCTTGGTCACGATGAGCCCCTGGACCAAGAGGAGTGGTCTGGAAGGAGAGAGACTCCCAGCTGCATGAACACTCACTCACTGTTGGGCTCAAGGGGCTAACAGCCCAAGCTGAGCTCCAGGCCACAGGGACAGAGAAAAGGGGGCTGGTTTGAAGGAATCCTTGCCTCTCTCCCTCACTTCTCAGTTAAGGCACAGCACAGAGCTCATTGACAGAAGACAGACAAGCAGAACAGGTACTGTCACTATTTAAACCTTCATCCCCTCTGGCTGGCCTAGGGCCATTGCAGCACAAAAGTGACAAGGAACCAAAAAAAGCATTTCAGGTGAAAGTAGACCTGAGAAGCAGAAGACAGAACAAAGTTTGAAGCCAAGGACATGGCAGAATAAAGACCTGGATGCAAAGCAAAAGGCCTGGAACCAGGTCAGAGATGCCAGAGGGAGTAAAGTCAGAGGCAAACAAAAGCCAGAGGCAGGCAAGGGGCCTGAGGCTGGAGCCTGTGGCCTCCATCCTAGATGGGGACAGAGATGGAATAGAGCCCAGCTAGTTCAGTTCACCACCCTAGAGATGTATGCCTGATTCCTCTTTCAATGCCACACCATACGACTCCGACTCAACTGTGTCTGCAGCTCAGCGGGGTGGCCTGGCAGGATGAGCAAGAGCTTTGGATTCATCCTAACCTGGGCCAGCTTTGTTCACTGCCATTCATTCCTCCAGTGCATGGATCTAGCAAGTGCTAGATCTAGTAAATGCTTACTGAATGGGTGACTTGAATCTCCACTTGCACTCACATGTTGAACAAGCCTTTTAATGCTCTGGATTCATCTCAGTGACAATCAAATCCAATGGATCAATGCCCCCGGAGAGGGGCAGTGGGGGTGGCCCCGACTTACTTGCCTGAGAAATGTGGATGGTAGTACTCCTGTGTGCCAGGTACTGTCCTAAGCTCTCTGTATGCTTCATTTTTGGGGGGAGCAGAGATAGGAAGAAGTGGAGGCGGGGGAATAAAGGATCTACACAGGCTCCTAACTTCAATGTGGATGGTCTGAGAGCTCCTCCAGGGTGTCCCGTCTCTGAGCCCAGCACAGGTCTGGTACACAGAAGCCTCAGGACCACGGGAAACCGAACTTGTACCTGCCAATACCATTCACCCTCTCCTCCAGTGCCCCTTGGTCTGAAAGCTTTTCAAGGGCGAGCAGGAGTCATATCTGGATTTTGCAGCTGGTGGCTGGAAAGTCTGAGCAAGGATCCCCCTGAGCGTTACATGCCCAGCTTGGCCCTAAAGCTGCTCGCCTGGACACGTGTCCCTGGTCTCCTCCTGCCCCAGCAATGAAGTCACAGCTGCCACCGCCCCGGGCCTGAGCCAGGCCTTCCGGGGCTGCATGGGCTGAGGCGCTACAGAGCTGCCTGTTATGCGGAAGGCCACTTCTCTACCCCCGGCGTGTTCCATAAAAGGTACCAACATAGGAAGGTCCAGAGTGGGGGCCTCACTATGCCCTGACTCGGGTTCCTGAAAGGGAGGTGGCTTGGCCCACTGCAGGGGAAGGTCTGACATTGGCACTGCAGGGCTGGCTCAGCCATAGGGGCCTTCCGCACAGCCCGTCCTGCAGTGAGACCATCCAGGTGGGCAGGAGAAAAGGCGAGGCAGGCAGAGATGACTAGAACAGGGGCAGCTGCGGCCCAGCCCAGGGGGAAAGCACCATGTTCTACACTCTGCCACCTGTTACCTGCCCCTGCCCAGACTTAGGGGTTTCAATCCCAGGGACGCCTCCTTATGTCCTCTCTAAGTGATGACCTACCATAACCACAGCATGGCTCAGCTACCCTCATTTCTCCCTAGAGAAACAGTAACCACTGCTTACCTCATCTCCCAGCCCTGGGCGCTCCCCCCCCGCCCAGAGTTGTCTCTCTTGGAGGCACATCCTACCCTGACACATCGCCCAGTACTACACCCCCATCCTTAGTACCCTGGCGGCTACCCTCTGCTCTGACTGAACTCTAACACTTCTCGCCTCCCACCCCTCCCCTCAGACACACTGAACTCCGCCCCTGCTCTCCTGGGCCTCTGGGTTTCTGCATATGCCATTTTTTCTAACCGGTACATGCTACAGAATAGAGATGAAACATCCCCATTTATTTAGAGTTTGTGGGAATTAGAGAGAGCTTTTGTGAAATGTCTAACACAGGAATTGGCACATAAGTGCGTAATGAGTGTTTGTGGAATTAATGAATGTTAAATGAATAGATTTAAATCTGTTCTTAGGAAAAAAAAACACCAAGGTAAAGATACATCAAGGTATTTGCAAAGAGAATGCTTCTTAGAATATGACTTAGAATAGAGGATAGAGGCCACACTGGGAAAAGGGTATAGGAGCTCTGGAACGATTATGTTCCATGGGGAATTGTCCATCTCCAATCAGAATCTGGGGTATGCATTTCCAGGAGATTGGGGAGTGGGTGGAGGAGGGGATCCTGGCAAGGCTTGCATTTCCAAAGCCAATAAGCTATGCAGGAAGTGGGTCCTCAGGAGGGAAATGGGAAAGGTGAGGACACAATTCCGGGAGGTAGAGGACAGAATTTGGCCAGGAGCTCTTGACTGGGGCTTGCAAGCTCTTGAGAAACCCAGGTAGACCCTCCTGGCTGCTGGATAACCAAAGACCAATCGCATGAAGCCAACTGAGGACCCAGGATGGAAAAACAGATTTTATTTTTTTAAGAGTTAGCACCAGAACCCCTACTACATCAGTAACTGTATTTTATTTAGGAAAATACCTGTGTCAGCACAAACAAAGGCTACCAGTAAAATTGTTAAGTTGATCTTCATGAAAAAATAAGGAGAATTTACTTTGGAGTCAAGACCCAGAGAATGAAAATAGAGGATGGATAGGGAGGCCAGCAGGAAAGAGAGGGTGGAGCCTGAGGGGGAGGGGACAAGCAGGGAACATTCCCCAGCAGGAGGGGACTTAGGACCTCACAGGCAGTTTGTGCCACTACAATTCCAATACCCCACCCTGCCCCCACCACATGTGACAGCATCTTTGAGACTTGGATTTGTCCGTGAAGCCAAGAAAGGCACTGATTTCGCATCTGGGTCAGCCCTGAGTGAGGTGCAGGCCGCCCCATCAGAAGCCCGGATGATCCGTTTACTTACCTGAGTCCCCAGAAGTAGGATTAGGGTGCGGAGAAATGAAAATATAAGCCCCCCTGGGAAATACGCTAAGCTCTTCAGGAGAGCTATCTTCTTCTGATCCTATCTGGACCCCAGCAGGCAGATACCTGTGCCCACCTCCCTCAGACCGGAAGGGAGAGGCCCCTGACGGACGACGGCCCTGCTGTGTAGCCGGCTGTCTGCCCTCCTGGCGCTCAGTGCATGTTTCCCTGTAGTAAATCTGAGGGTGCTCCAGCCTTGTCTCCATTATACTCCAGGGCCCAGGGAATTGTTGCGCCTTCACATTATCAAGGGAAGAATCGTGCTTGAAGGCAAAGCAAGATGAATGGCAGGCCAGGGTCACAGCCACACCAGCTGCATCTCGACACCAGACCATTATCCACCCCACACCGAAGATAGAAACCTAAGGAATGTTTTCATTAAGAAAGCCTGCATTTCCTCCAGGCTTCTAAGGAGCCCAGTGTTCTCTTCCCTCCATCATTAATCAAGCCAAGAGGACTGTTCAGGGGGACTGCACAGGGGCAAACAGCAGGAACTGACCTCTGACCAGATCCTCAGCCAGGCTCTGGTCATCCAGCAAGGTCACACAAGCAGCCGGCACAGGGTCCAGCTGGGAGGACGAGCTGACGCCCAGATGTCACAGCCTGAGAAATCCATATGCAGGCAAGGCCTTTCTGGCAAACTGCTGCCAGACCCACCCCCCCACATCCTGAGAGACGGCACCACAGCCCGGCCTGAGGAGGGAGCAGATGGTGGCAAAGGGGATGGGGAGCTCTGCTCACCACCAAAGCCCAGGGGGTGGCGCACAGGGTGGGGGAGGGGCAGTGGTCCACGCCCGAGGCTCTCTGGGCTCCAGACGCGCATGTGGCCCTGTGCCCCCAGAACAGCAAGCGGTTGCAGCCAGAAAGACCTGTGCAATGGTCTCTGACAATGGCAGTGAGGCTCGTGCTCCGCCGTGTGCCCATCAGGCTTCCTGACTGATGGCTGCTATATGTTCCATCTGAGCATTTAGGGTGAAAAAAGGAAACCAGTGAAAGTGACGTGAAGTCCAAGGTAGCTATGGTGTGGGGTGGCTCACTGTCACTCCAGAGGAAAGGATTCTACTGACAGGTTGACAAACAACTTGGAGCCAGAGAAGAACACAGAAAGCCCTCAAGAAATAGGGACAGGTGGGGAGAGGGAGTTCTGAAATGTTTTAACAGACTCAGTGAGGGAATCGTGAATCCATCTATCAAGCCATTCGACACTTTTAAAATGCACAAAGAGGAGAAATTCCAACTTGAGGGGCATTTTATAATAATACCGCATTAGTCCCCACAGCCTAATTCTAGGATCAGGCTCCACGGTGACCAGACAACACAGCTCATATCATGTGCCTGTCCCCCTTTGGAAACCCACTGGAATATAAATGGGGTGGCACCGTCACAGTATGTCTGTTACTTCCATTGCAGCCCTGAAGTCACCGGACGGTGCGTTCCAAAGACGGAGTACTTTCCAGATTCCCCTCTGAGCAAGGTTGTCTGCGAAATCTTAGCAGAGTTTCAAGGTTCTTAGAGACTGGTTATCACTTTTATTACTGGCTGAGTCAGACAAGCCCTAAACTAAGTTGCCAAGAAAACAAGAGTGAGAAACACCCAAATGAGACAGTGCTTTGTAGGGGAAAATAAACAAGAGCACACTGGTGAATGCAATGCTTTTGGAGCTACAAGAAGTCACTTATTTAGGTATTTTTCCTCCAAGGGACTTTCTTTGTACTAAATAGGAACCAAATTGATTTGCTATAAGAGGGTTGGCTTGGCTCTGGAGCACAGGAAGCCCTGGCCACGGGCCTAATAGAAGAGGACAGAGTTTCTGAGACCAGCTCAGTGGAGAAGCCAAGAGATAGACGATCTGGTAAAAACTCCCCATTCATGATGGTCCTCAGGAAAACTTCTAACCCAGAATTATTGTCCCAAGAGCAGCCGTCTGGGGGGAGAACTAAAAGATGGACTTGAGAACTCCATTTCCAAAAGGATTTTCATTAATTCCATCAAGACAAAGTTAATAATCCATGACACAAATGTTTTATTTTTTCTTGAGTTAGTTGTTCTAAACATGTCTTCTCGATAAATCTCACAGCTAGAGGCTAGTAGAAATTAGTTTGTCTTCTATACTGTCATTAAGAAATAAAGAAGTGGTAATAGCTACTAAGGAAACTCAAAGAGAATGGCTTGTAAATGAGATGAATCTAGGAGCTGCCCAAATGGTCCTTGGGCGGGATGAGGAAGTAAATCCGCATTTCCCTCTCGTCACACCCCCACTCAAGGCAGAAGCAACAAATGGAGACAGATTCCTTTAATAAAGTGCTCTATTTATAGATATATAAAGACTTCTAGAAACAGTTTAACTTGTGTTAAGACCTGCATTATTAACAGATCCAGCCCATCAGTCCTTATGGAGGGTCTCCAATGAGCAAGGTCTTGTAGGGAGGGCTAAGTGGGTCTCCCGGACATGCCTCTCCTCTCCCACACAAGGCAGCTTTGATGGAGTGCCTGCGGGAGTGACGTGGACAGTAAGTGGTGCACGAAGCCCGTGAGATGGGGCTGGACCCATGGGACCCACTCTCCCACCCACTGTGATGCTTTGCAAGAGCATGCTCAGGAAAGACAAGTGGACTATACCTTACAAAAAAAAAATGAGGCCATGGTTGGCCTTTTGGCAGACACTGAACGCACCTGACCACCTCCTCTGTAATGACACAGTTAATAGCTCAGTCTTGTCCTAGATGCTCTCTGTATGCTCCCTCATTTAATTTTCATTATGTCTCTAGGGAGAGACACTTTACCTTCCAATCTACAGAACAGGAAACTGAGGCACAAAATGACAAATAGGTAATGATAATTAAATAATTCAGTAGGAGCTAGAGTTACTGGGATTGGAACCCAGGAGATGTGGCTCTTGTGCTGCAGCTGCTATTGCTACTATTACCATTACTGCCCTGCTCCTGCTACCACCGCTACCACTAATGCTGTGCTGCTGCTAGTACTATTACTGCACTGCTACTACTGCTAGTTACTAGCACTGCTATTGCTACTACTACTAGTACTGTTACTGCACTGTTACTACTGCTACCTGCTGCTAGTACTATTACTGCACTGCTACTACTGCTAGTTACTAGCACTGCTATTGCTACTACTACTAG